ATATATATATATATATATTTATTTATAATATACTGAAGATGTTACTGAAGTGTTTCACTTTTTTCCTTTTGTGATAACCTCCACTCAATGCCTTCAAGCACAATGTCTTCTCATACATGACACCAGTCTTCTCTGAAGCCAGGTCCAAAGGGAAGCCTTACATTACATGTCCTTTTATTGTGGCAACCATAAAACCTTCTCCTCTAGATCTTTCACTTTCACTTTAACTCCTAGTCAACTGGAGTAAGTATTTGCACCTTTTTGACTGGGAATCGAACAAATCTGTTTGGGAAGAAAATACTCATGGTACACCAGGGACTAGCCACACAGAGGTGTTCATTAAATGAGCCACTACCGCACTCCCAGTCCTGGAATCCAGGCTTCTTGCCCTGATCTTTCCTTTGACTTAGGGTAGAAGAAACTGAAGGCTATTCTGTAACTTTTCTATGTGATAGCTTGAATCACTGCCATCAGGATGGCAGACTTATCTTTTAAAAAGTCTATTTTTAACCCTGAAACACTCCCTTTCAAAAATATTGTAAATATTATGTGGATATCTTCCTAATAAAAATATTTAAAGATGATGTGTGTGAAGCTTTCCTCTTGAACAAACTAACTATGTGAAGGTATTGATCAGGATAAGGAATTTAGATTTTTTTCTTTAAAGTGTATTTATTTAAGCACCTGTAAAAGAGAAAACAACTAACTTAAAAAAAAAAAAATACATTTTTTCTAGTGACTTTATTTTAACCCAAAGATACTGAATTTGTTTCCAGCACTTAACTTGTTTTTTGTCTAATTTTAATTTTTTTTTAAATCAGCAACAAAGTACTTTACTGCTTCAGTTGTATAAAATATACTCTAGATTTACATATGATATAAAAAATAAAGAATATATATATTGAAGTAAGAGGGTGTCTAGGCTTTATTTGCCAAATGTAAAATTGCATAAATGTTTGACCAAAATATTAAATGCGCAAAGCCTTTTAAAACTTTTTGAAAAATAGCTAAAGCTATGTCTGTGACTATTTTGAGTTATGCTTCTTGTGATTTATTTAAAAATGTAGATAGCTTCATAAATGCTTGATTTATAAACTAGGTATGAAGCTGACTCTGGTTACTTGAATGCAAATGGTGTAATTTTTTGCTAAAAGGTATTTTGTGAAATAAATATGACAAACAACTATTTAATGTAAAATAAACTCTGATTGAGACCTATTGGCTTAAATAAAGCATAGAAATGAAGGGCTTACAAAATGAACTTTGTAGTATTCTCAGGATACTTTTATCTTCAGAGTATAATTGTCTAACAAGATTTTGTAAATTGAATTACGATGATTTTAAATGTGAATTGAGAAAGTTGCAGTGCAAACATTAAGTCGAGGGTTTTTATGCACATGACCTGAACTTACAAATTTGTGCAATAACATGTGAATATTTTTGCCCTGGATAGACCTGTGACAGCATTTCAAAAAAATAATACAACTACTTCCATAGTAATGTTTTTAATTTCTTCCTCAATGTTCTGTTCCTGGATTGAGACCAAGTACAGTAAAAGACCAGAAAACTCACTGTCTAAAAATGGCACAGCTTTATTGACAACGGATCTGCTCAATGTGTGCATTGTATCTGCTTAGTGACTGCATTTGTAATACTGCTTATCATTAGTAAGGTAACAAAACTCAGCGGCTCACCCCTAACAAAATTTAGCTAAAATCCTATGATTTCTATAATTATATGCATTCATTTATGCACCCATTGAAGTCACTAAAATTGCCATCATGCAACAGAAGCACTTCAGTATTTGCAAGATCATAGCCTATCTTTATTTTGCAGAACTCATATTGATTTTCAAGCCATAATATAACTTGACTTTCCAATTCCCAGCTTGGTTTAATACACTGGTAGTTGGGGAAAATCCTCATTTCACTTGGAAACTGAGCAGATTTGATGTGGATGTCATCAAAATGTAAACCTCACTGTCATACTAGTCAATTTTCTAAGTAGAACTGCACTTTAAACATTTACTTGGCAAATTTATGTGCTTATAGAAGAGCAAATTTGGGGAATAACTAAGTGTTGTTTATAGTTAACGTAAGCTAATATTAAAATGATGTAAAATCCTGATGTATTTACCACACGTCCGTAATCTTTAAAATAAATGATCATGCAGACTCAACCTTCTAGAACACCATTGTTGCTGCTACTTTCTTTATCAGTTGTTTCCTGTTGTATAAGGTTCCTTGATATTTGACAGTTTTGATGAGTTAATTTTTACTAATCTTACTTTTCTTGTGGTAGTAATGAAATACAAGTATGTTATCTTTTTCTTGTACCTGTGCCTTTTTAAAGGGACACTGTGAACTTAAAATCTAGTCAATAAAAGTGTAGTTATTCCAGATATTGCAGTTAACCTTGATGATCCACTCCCACACCATTTTGTTGCATTTTAACAACCAGGTTCTGCTGTTTGTTCTCTCCCCTGCTGCTCTGAGACCCAAGCAAATGGTGAAATTAACTGAATGTTGTCCAAATTGGTTGACAGGAAGAATCAACTCTGGATGACTGAAGTAGTAGTTGCCCATCTTGTTCCAGTTTGAGTGTCCTTTCTATACTCTACAAATACAAATAATTTGAGGTACCTAGCAAGTGACAAAAGTGGGTTTACATAACCAGTGATAGTTTACTTTTGATTCCTTGATAAAGAATAAAAATAGATTTTCATTGAAAAGAATTAAAGGTTCTCACATGTATCCAAGACGGATTGTAGGAAATGTCTATTGGTAAAAGATCTGACCTGAACGGATACAGATTCTCTTCAGAGGTTAACTGAAATGGTAATATGTTAGGACAGAAAGATACTTTGAATTGTAGAATAAAACTAAAATGCAGTTTTAGGTAGCTTTTATAAGGATATGCCTACTACTTGGAAAGGAAGAATAGTCCCCAGTTGGGAAGAATGTACTCAAATCAGTTGGGTTTTTTTGGTGGTATTATGACCTACTGTTCTCTTAAGTATCAGTGTATGATGCTTATGTAAAGTGTACAGTTTAGAGTGGTTCTCTGAAAAGTGGTATTGTGGGATTTTTGTTCTTTGCTCATTTCAGTTTCTGTATCAAATGTGTCTTTTGTACAAAAAATTAGTATAATAGTCAGGACACAACTTAATATGTAAGTCAATCTTTTTTTCCCTTGTCTGCAGACCAAATTCTGTCTTTGGGTGTACCTAAGAATCCTAGCTAAATTAATTTAATTGGGCTGGCAGATGTGCACATAAAATTTAATTTAATTAATGATGTGGAATCTCACTGCAACACTATAACATAGACCCCCCCCAACTATGTATGTCTGTT